CTTTTGTTAAATAACAAGCATGTCATACCTGCTCTGTGAAAGGTTTTGCACAGAGCAGCCTCCATCCTTCTCTTCTCGGCTCCTGGCTCCTTCACCTGTGCTGAGTGCCCTGGGGACACTTGTGCATGCTTGCTCTTGAGCCACCTTTTGTGTGTCTATAAGACACACAGAGTGCAACTCAGCCTTGTCCCCTGCTCCCTCCTTACTGACTGTGATTGACAGCAGCGGGGGCCAATGGCTCCTGCTGCTGTGTCTGAACCAATGAGGAGAGAGAGAGACCCGGGAGAGTTGCTGCTCTTGTGCACATCTGTGGATCGCGATGTGGTTTGGGTAAGTATCAGAGGGGGGCTGAGGGGGGAGCTGACACTAAGGGGAATTTTTACCTCCGTGCATATAATGCAGGAAAAATGAACCAAAAATAAAAAAGACCAATTGTGGACTTTAGAGGCACTGCAACAAAGATATCTTTAAAATCACTTTATTGTAGAAATGTAGAGCATTAAATAGCAATCACATACATATTACTCCACTAAGAATGCAAAACACCCAAAGGGGGGGGGGGGGGGGGGGGATAGAGTATTCTAAGCTGTTTTCAAAACTCGTCAAAAATTGTGAAAATTGACACAAATGTACCGTATCCCGGTAAAGGTATCAAAAGACATAAATCGAACGTCGATATGGGTAATCATTTGATAGTTACTCTGTAGTTACTCGACATGTTTTGCAATAGTATCACTTCTTCAGGAGTTACTACATAGAGAGAAGGATTGAATATAAGCATAACATAATGTCACATAGTATAAAATTGTTTGTTAGTTATATAAATTTAAAAATGCCTTGAGGTATCAGTTACAGAGCAGACAGTGTGTCGGGATAAATGATGGTAACGCAAGGAGCAACCCACATGTCAGGCAAATCAGCAGGAGGATCCCACAAGAATGAAACACCACTTGGTAGTCCCTAAAAGGGGGGGGGTGATGGGTTTTTCTCAAGATCTAAAAGAGGTATATAGATCATAGAATACATATATATTTTCCCCAATCCAGATAACAATATAATAAGGGACAAAAACATATATGTTATGCTGACCTTCCAGAGATATAGGCTGTAAGATCGATGTGAGGATCAATTTTAAAGCCAAAAAGCCACTTGTAAATATTCACCGAAGTGAGAAAAAATTGTAGAAAAATAAATGAAGGTCTCAAAGATATCAACTCAGCCACAATGGTTGCTAAATAGCATATATAAAGCCTAAAAAAAATCCAGAGAAGGGGGAAGGGAAATAAATAATAAATAATAGATTTATCAGGGAAGATATTTAAACATGTAACCATTATATTAGAGCTAGCCAATATAGAGACCACTTCAAATATCAATTAGTAAAAATTAATTACCAAACAGTGTACTAACCTTGTTAGGGCAGGGATGAAGCAACAGGGAGGATAGGGCCGATTGACCGGATATAATATACTACCTCAATTCGACAAAAGTAAGAATCAACCCAGGAAATTGGGGTAGTAAAGCCAGTACATGTCTGTAAGTACAAGAACCACATAGGTCCAAAATTGGGTAAACAATGGCTAAAGAGAACAGTGTATGTACAGTTGTGTTCAAAAAATAATAGCAGTCAGACATCACTAACCTGATCAATCACTGTTTTTGGTAGAAATTATATTTCTACATGGCAAATAATTTACTAGCAGGTGTAGTAGAGAGTAATAGAAATCCAGCAGACCCAACAGTCATGACATGCATGCTGCTGTGATTCTGTGTAATTGAATCACTAATTGGAAAGGGCATGTTCAAAATAATAGCAGTGTGGAGTTTATTAGTGAGGTCATTCAAAAACAGGTGGCAATTATTGCCCTTATTTAAGAAGGAAGGAAGGGCAGCAAATGCTGTACATTCTGGTTACAGTGCATTTCTCTCTGAAATTCTGAGGAAAATGGGTTGTTCTAGACATTGTCAGAAGAACAGCGTACCTGATTAAAAAAGTTGATTGGAGTGGGGGAAAACATATAAAGACGTGCAGAAAACGATAGGCTGCTCAGCTAAAATGATCGAAAATGCTTTTAAAAATTCCAACCAAAACCTGAAAAGACATGGAAGAAAAAGCGAAAAAAACTACCATTCAAACGGACAGAGAAGAATAGCCAAAATGGCAAGGGACTCAGCCAACAATCAGCTCCAGGAAGATCAAAGAAGGTCTAAAGTTACCTGTGAGTACTGTTACAATTAGAAGACGCCTATGTGAAGCCAAGCTATCTGCAAGAAGCCCCCGCAAAGTCCCACTGTTGAAAAAAAGACATGTGCTGAAGAGGTTACCAATTTGCCAAAGAGCACATTGACTGGCCTAAAGAGAAATGGTGCAACATTTTGTGGACTGATGAAAGTAAGATTGTTCTTTTTGGGTCTAGTGGCCAGACAGTTTGTCAGACGACCCCCAAACACTGAATTCAAACCACAGTACACTGTGAAGACAGTGAAGCATGGTTGCGCAAGCATCATGATATGGGAATGTTTCTCATACTACGGTGTTGGGCCTATTTATCGCATACCAGGGATATGGATCAGTTTGAATACTACATTCAGAATTAGAGATGAGCGAATCGAACCAGGCGAAGTGGAATTCGTTTCGAATATCGGGGAAAAAATTCGATTCGCATCGAATCCGAATTTTAGCCAACTTCACGAATCGAATTTTTTCCCGATCAGCCGGCAAAAGTGTCACTGCAGAGAGCTCCGCTATTTCTGGACAGTTTTCTGACAGTTCATTTTACAGCGGTTAAAACATTGTATCTATTTGTTTCCTTTAGGACACAGATGTTTTTATTCGGAATATAAATAGATACAATGTGTTTCAAACCGCTGTAAATGAAACTGTCAGAAACTGTCAGAAATAGCGGAGCTCTCTGCAGATACACTTTTTGCTGTACTGGAATACTTCTTCTTTTCATTCTTCTTCTTTTCATTTCTTCTTCTTCTTCTTTTCATTCTTCTTTTCATTCTTCTTCTTTTCATTCTTCTTTTTCATTCTTCTTCTTCTTTTCATTCTTCTTCTTTTCATTCTTCTTTTCATTCTTCTTCTCTTCTTTTAATTCTTCTACTTCTTTTCATTCTTCTTCTTCTTTTCATTCTTCTTTTCATTCTTCTTCTTCTTCTTTTCATTTCTTCTTCTTCTTTTCATTCTTCTTCTTCTCTTCTTTTCATTCTTCTTCTTCTTCTTTTCATTCTTCTTTTCATTCTTCTTCTTCTTCTTTTCATTCTTCTTCTTCTTTTCATTCTTCTTCTTCTTCTTCTTTTCTCATTCTTCTTTTTTTCTTCTTCTTCTTTCTTTTCATTCTTCTTCTTTTCATTCTTCTTCTTCTTCTTCTTTTCATTCTTCTTTTCATTCTTCTTTTCTTCTTTTTTCATTCTCTTCTTCTTCTTTTCATCTTCTTCTTTTCATTCTTCTTCTTCTTCTTTTCATTCTTCTTCTTCTTCTTTTCATTCTTCTTCTTCTTTTTTCATTCTTCTTTTCATTCTTCTTCTTCTTCTTTTTCATTCTTCTTCTTCTTCTTTTCATTCTTCTTTTCATTCTTCTCTTCTTCTTTTCATTCTTCTTCTTCTTTTCATTCTTCTTTTCATTTCTTCTTCTTCTTTTCATTCTTCTTTTTCATTCTTCTTCTTCTTCTTCTTTTCATTCTTCTTTTCATTCTTCTTCTTCTTCTTTTCATTCATCTTCTCCTTCTTTTCATTCTTCTTTTCATTCTTCTTCTTCTTCTTTTCATTCTTCTTTTTTTCTTCTTTTCATTCTTCTTTTCATTCTTCTTCTCACTTCTTTTCATTCTTCTCTTCTTTTTCATTCTTCTTTTCATTCTTCTTTTCATTCTTCTTCTTCTCATTCTTCTTCTTCTTCTTTTCATTCTTCTTTTCATTCTTCTTTTCATTCTTCTTCTTCTTTTCATTCTTCTTCTTTTCATTTCTTCTTTTCATTCTTCTTCTTCTTTTCATTCTTCTTCTTCTTCTTTTCATTCTTCTTTTCATTCCTCTTCTTCTTCTTCTTTTTCATTCTTTCTTCTTCTTTTCATTCTTCTTTTTCATTCTTCTTCTTCTTCTTTTCATTTCTTCTTTTCATTCTATCATTGTATCTTTTTGTTTCCATTTAGGATACAGATGTTTTTATTCGGAAATAAATAGATACAATGTTTCAAACCGCTGTAAATGAACTGTCAGAAATAGCGGAGCTCTCTGCAGATACACTTTTTGCTGTACTGGATACTTCTTCTTTTCATTCTTCTTCTTCTTTTCATTCTTCTTCTTCTTCTTTTCATTCTTCTTTTCATTCTTCTTCTTCTTTTCATTCTTCTTCTTTTCATTTTCTTTTCATTCTTCTTCTTCTTCTTTTCATTCTTCTACTTCTTTTCATTCTTCTTCTTCTTTTCATTTTCTTTTCATTCTTCTTCTTCTTCTTTTCATTCTTCTTCTTCTTTTCATTCTTCTTCTTCTTCTTTTCATTCTTCTTCTTCTTCTTTTCATTCTTCTTCTTCTTTTCATTCTTCTTTTCATTCTTCTTCTTCTTCTTTTCATTCTTCTTCTTCTTATTCTTCTTCTTCTTCTTCTTTTCATTCTTCTTTTCATTCTTCTTCTTTCTTCTTCTTCTTTTCATTCTTCTTCTTTTCTTCTTCTTCTTCTTCTTCTTCTTCTGGCAACTCCACCACGCAGCTCATTTTTGTTCAGTTTACTGTATTTTGCTCCTTCAAAATCCTGAAACTTTCTTTTGGCAGGTGTACAGACTCAGGTACTCAGTGCAGGAATGGTGGGAATCCCTCACAATGGACACAGCAGGTGTACATACAGACCCAGGAATTCAGCACAGGGATGGTGGGAACCCCTCATAATGGGCACAGCAGGTGTGCATACCCAGAACTCAGCACAAGGATGGTGGGAACCCCTAGTAATGGGCGCAGCAGGTGTGCAGACCTGGGACCTCAGCACAGGGATGGTAGAAACCCCTTATAATGGGAACAGCAGGTGTACAGACCCAGGAATTTAGCACAGGGATGGTGGGAACTCCTCCTAATGGGCAGAGCAGGTGTACAGACCCAGGAACTCAGCACAGGGATGGTGGGAACTTCTCATAATGGGCGCAGCAGGTGTGCAGACCTGGAACTCTCAGCACAGGGATGGTGGGAACCCCTCATAATGGGCACAGCAGGTGTGCATACCCAGAACCTCAGCACAGGGATGGTGGGAAACCCCTAGTAAAGGGCGCAGCAGGTGTGCAGACCTGGGACCTCAGCACAGGGATGGTAGAAACCCCTCATAATGGGAACAGCAGGTGTACAGACCCAGGAATTTAGCACAGGGATGGTGGGAACTCCTCCTAATGGGCAGAGCAGGTGTACAGACCCAGGAACTCAGCACAGGGATGGTGGGAACTTCTCATAATGGGCACAGCAGGTGTGCAGACCTGGAACCTCAGCCACAGGGATGGTGGGAACCCCTCATAATGGGCACAGCAGGTGTGCATACCCAGAACCTCAGCACAGGGATGGTGGGAACCCCCTCATAATGGGCACAGCAGGTGTTAGGGGGTTTAACTCTCCAGCATCCATTAGAGACTGATATAGTAATATAGTTCATTTTCTTTTCATTCTTCTTTTCATTCTTCTTCTTCTTTTCATTCTTCTTCCTCTTTTCATTCTTCTTTTCATTCTTCTTCTTCTTTTCATTCTTCTTTTCATTCTTCTTCTTCTTTTCATTCTTCTTCTTCTTCTTTTCATTCTTCTTCTTCTTTTCATTCTTCTTCTTCTTCTTTTCATTCTTCTTTTCATTCTTCTCATTCTTCTTTTCATTCTTCTCATTCTTCTTTTCATTCTTCTCATTCTTCTTCTCATTCTTCTTTTCATTCTTCTTCTCATTCTTCTTCTTCTTTTCATTCTTCTTTTCATTCTTCTCATTCTTCTTTTCATTCTTCTTTTCATTCTTCTTCTTCTTTTCATTCTTCTTTTCATTCTTCTTCTTCTTTTTCATTCTTCTCATTCTTCTTTTCATTCTTCTTTTCATTCTTCTTCTTCTTCTTTTCATTCTTCTTCTTCTTCTTTTCATTCTTCTTTTCATTCTTCTTCTTCTTCTTTTCATTCTTCTTCTTCTTCTTTTCATTCTTCTTTTCATTCTTCTTCTTCTTCTTTTCATTCTTCTTCTTCTTCTTTTAATTCTTCTTCTTCTTCTTTTCATTCTTCTTCCTCTTCTTTTCATTCTTCTTCTTCTTCTTTTCATTCTTCTTTTCATTCTTCTTCTTCTTCTTCGTCGTGCCCCGTGACTGCCCAAATGAGTGAAGTGTGCGGTGATTCTAAGATCGACGGCACTCATCTGCATGTCATACTGACTGACAGTATTATTTCTCTTCCCCAGCAGACTCCAATTGCATTTAAATTAAAGGTACAGTGTTCTGCACTAATATAAAGGCTCTCTGAAGCCTAGAAACCCTTTAAATAAGTTAAATTCGCGGCGAATAAATTCGCATCGAATCGAATTTCTCCCGCAAATTCGGCGAATCAGCCGAATCGAATTTTTGAATAATTCGCTCATCTCTAATCAGAATACTTGAAGAGGTCATGCTGCCTTATGCTGAAGAGGAAATGCCCTTGAAATGGGTGTTCCAACAAGACAACGACCCCAAACACACCAGTAAACGTGCAACATCTTGGTTCCAGACCAACAATATTGACGGAGTGGCCAGCCCAATCCCCGGATCTTAATCCAATAGAAAACTTGTGGGGTGACATCAAAAATGCCGTTTCTGAGGCAAAACCAAGAAATAGAGAACTGTGGAATGTAGTCCAATCATCCTGGGCTGGAATACCTGTTCACAGGTGCCAGAAGTTGGTTGACTCCATGCAACACAGATGTACAGCAGTTCTCAGAAACAGTGCAACTACAACCAAATATTCATTAAGTGATTCAAAGGAAAGCAAAATCTTCAAACATTTTTCAGTTTATATAGTGAATGTTTGAGTTTGTAAAGAAGAATACAAGCACTTCTATTTTTTTGAACAGTCTAATATTCACTTATCTTCAATTTTTTTAGAGGAACAACACAAAATTGATATATTTTTCTTCATGTTTTGAATTGGAATAGAATGTGTAATGTTCCCAATGCATTTGTGTGTATGGAAATAAAAGCTATTAGAAGGATTTTGAGCTTTATTCACTTTTTTCAACACACTGCTATTATTTTGAACACAACTGTATAAATAGTATATAGTATATAATACACAATATATACAATGTCATACCTAAACTTGAAGATCCAGTATATGGCTAGTTTTGCTCTGGACACCTCCTGTAGTGAGGCCCACAAAGGGCTGACCTAGAGGTCAAGCTGCCTTGCTCCCTGGGACTGCCAAAGGATGGTATGGGGGTGTCAACTGGAGGAGCTGAACACTCTTTGTCCTGCTGTAGCTACAGGACCAGGAGATGCAGCTCTCTCTTAGGGGATCCCAACATGGGACACCAGAAGCGCAGTGAAATGGTGCATGACATCGTCACACCCAGCCAGGCATGCAACCGCTCCCAGCAACCGCTCCTAACGTCAGCCACCACAAGATGTGGAGTGACCAAATGCTGCTGTATAATGCAGGAAGGTATAAAAAAACTTCAGTGCTGTATGTGTGTAAATGTGTTCATGTCCCCCTTCAGGGGCTGGAGAAAGTGATGGATCTCTAAAGTTCCCTATGCTGACTCTTTGGAGCTGCCTGGCTCAAAGGCTCATTGTAGGATCAGAGCAAAGAGACAAAATTGGGAATCTTTTGCCAGTATTTTGTCCAATTGTCATAACCCCCTTCCATTGATGTGTGTAAGTGGACACTCTTGTAAATTTGCAGATCTACTCTAATGTTTGTTTAGAGGAACGGTGGAAAAGGCACGAGTATGCGGTAGGATACTACATAACATTTTTTTTTAAAGTTTGAATTCACTAAAAAACACTGCTAAAATACCAAATTAGTTATTTTATCAAGTCATGTGGTATTTTAGTAATGAAAAGCATGCGTTAATGTTGCAGCTGTCAGTGGGGTTTCCCGCTGACAGCTGAATGTAAAAGAAAAAATTGCCAGCAATTAAAAATTATTAAAAAATGATGTGGGGTCCCCCCTCTCCATCCATACCAAGCCCTTCGGGTCTGGTATGGATTTTGAGGGGAACCCCTATGCCAAAGAAAATGTTGTGCAGGTCCCCCCCAAAATCCCACCTAAACTCCATCTATAAAATCCATTGCTCGTCTCCCCCCTTTCCTGAACTGCTGGGCTGCATGTTCAAATAAGGGTCTGGTATGGATTTTGGGGGGACCCCATGCCATTTTCAGACAGGTAAGTTTATTTTACATGTCTCTTCTGTAATAAGAACCTGCCTTCTCATAATTTTTTTTTATTTTAGACTTTGGCTATGCTTTAAGCTTTAGGGTTTTAGTGTGTTAAGGATTATGTTACGAATTATGATTGAGAGCAGGGAGCGAACTGGGACTCTGGAGCCTACCAAAGAAAGTGACCCTTGCCAAAAATTTAAAGTCTAACTAAAGGCAAAAATATAAAAATGTAAGTCCTGCTCTGCCACCAACCTATTCAGCAAGTAACTAAATGAACAATCCAGAGCTGCTGCAAAACACTCAAATGTGTTCCCACATCAAACCAAAAGTGATATACTAAATAAGTGTTGCATTGCTCTCACTGCTCTTTTATTAAAATAAATAACAATAAAGTGATCATACTACAACCACCTCACTAGAAATCATTAAGCCAACAAAATATCAGTTACATGTTTCCAAAAAATAAAAAAAAACCACATAAAATCACTGAAAACTACTGTGCCTCCCTAAAGTGAATAATATCAGTTCACTCATTAGCAAACAGCGTAGCAAATATGCTTGTGAATAATAAAGTAAAATTCTTAATGCAGACTAAAAAAATGTCCACCAACGCTAACAAACAAAAACTTAGTACGTAAAATAATTCAGCAGTGAAATACAAATCACTACCTATATTAACCACTTGCCCTCCGGAAGATTTACCCCCCTTCCTGACCAGGCCATTTTTTGCAATTTAGCGCTGTGTTACTCTTCACTTCAAGTCCGGACACTTTTACCCCCTTCCTGTCCAAGCCAATTCTCAGCTTTCAGTGCTACCACACTTTGAATGACAATTGTGCGGTCATGCAACGCTGTACCCATATGAATTTATTAGCATTTTTTTGAGACAGATAAATCTTTATTTTGGTGGTATTTATTCACCACTGGGATTTTTCTTTTTCTTTGCTATATAAATGAAAAAGTCAAAAAATTAAAAAAAACGTGTTTTCCTTCATAAATATTGGCCACAATTTATTCAGTTATCTTTTTAGTAAAAAGAAGAATAACCCAAATTAGTTTATAACCAAAAATTATAATTTTTCAAAAACTTTTTTTACATTTTTATTTTATTTTTTTATATTATTATTTATGGGTTTTTTTTTTACATACCGTCACCCTAGCAATACAGTGTCACCATAGTGACACTGCACTACTTGATGAAGATTTTTTTTTTTTACACTGATTGCTTTTACACCCATAAAGGCTGTAAAATCAATCATTTCTCCTTCTCTCTGGCTGCATTCCTGCAGCCATTGAGAAATACTGTGTTAGCTGTGATTGGTCACAGCTTGTCACATGGTACAAGGCTGTTGTGAATAGCCTTGTACCATGTGACCTCTGTGATCATTCACAGATTTCACACATAGTAAGCAATGATGTCAGAAGTGACATCTTGCTTACTACTCTTCATGTGATCACTGATTGGCCAATCAGTGATCACATGATCGGGACCTCACACAGAGGTCCCATACAACGATCGGTGTTCTGCTGTGTCTGGAGGACACAGTGGGCACTGGAACGCGGTGCTGCGCGCTCCCAGGGAGCTCGCACAATCAGGGAAGGGGGAGAGGACGTTTATAAATGGCCACTCACCCCTGCACTGCTCCTATCCGGCTGTTTTATATACATGGGCTGGACGGGAAGTGATTAACTCACAATGTCGCGGTCATGCAATGCTGTACATAAATGAAATTTATGTCAATTTCCCCCACAAATAGAGCTTTCTTTCAGTGGTATTTGATCACCCCTACAGTTTTTATTTTTTTTGCTGCTATAAACAAAAAAAGACTGACAATTTTGAAAAACAAAAACAATATTTTTGACTTTTTGCTATAAAACATATCCAATAAAAAAAAAAAAAATTTCTTCATAAATTCAGGCCAAAATGTATTCTGCTACACGTCTTTGATTAAAAAAAAAATCACAGTAAGTGTTTATTAATTGGTTTATGTGAAAGTTATAGCATGTACAAATAGTAATATAAATACTGAAGTTTTTTTTTTTTTTTTTATACTAGTAATTGCAGTGATCAGCATCTTATAGCAGGACTGCGGTGGGCATTCTGACACTGGGTGGGAATTGCCTGCCACTGACATCTCCAGTGAC